TTTTTAGGAGAATGATGACTGAGTCAGAAAACACAGCTGCCCCTGAAAGTCCCTCATTTTTCTTGCTGTCCTTGAACATGCGTCAAGTAAGGTGACTGGTCATCCAGTTGGCCCAGGTGAGGAGACGTAGAGACATTCATTGGTCCCTTACCCAACCCTAGTCCACTGTCCCCAATCAATCAATCCAGAACCCAGTTAGTGTACTCTGCCACAGGGATCCAACATCTCACAGGGGGGACGTGGATCCATCCACTCTGCTGCAACTGGTTCTGAGGTCAAGTGAGGGTCTCAGGATGAGGGGCGTCTAGCCTATTCACGACAGGGCCCTGCTGAGGCCAGCCCTCATTCAGGTAAGAAGAAAACCAGCCCAGAACCCTGGAGCCAGTACTGTGGAAGACCAATATACAGGTGTGAGCCTGAGCATGGCAGCTGAGCTCTGCCCTACTTTTCTAACAGCTCTCTGACCAACAGTACCAAAGACTACAAGCCAGGCATGGTGACGCAGGTGCAGTAAGAGTTCAAGGTCAGCCTTGGCTACATAGTGAGCTGGACACCAACCTGTCTTAAAATCAAACCCCCAAACCAGGGGCTGGAGAGTCAGGTTAATCAGTGCTTGCTGTGCAATCATGAGGACTAGAGTTCAGAGACCGGCATCCATGTAACAAGTCAGATGTCCCACAGGCTGTAGCCTGTAACTCCAGCTCTGAGGGATCCTCCTTGCCACCAGGCATGCATACCTGCACACACATAATTTAAAAAGGAGACAAGGTAACTTCTCGATCACTGACTCAGGACTGCAATCAGGCACACATTGTCCATAACTGAGTAACACCACAAGTGGATGACTTCAGAATGTGTGTGTGTGTGGGGGGGGGTAGGAAGTGCAGGTTAGCCCTCTGGCTTCTCTGCTGCACCCTGCCCTACCTTTTACACACAGCTTCAGGTGGGCCTGTGTATGAAGATAGATCTACCCTATGCCTTTCTACTAAAACATGGGCAAAGACAGACTTCTGAAATGTTCCACACGTTTTTAGGTTTAAACCACCAAGCTGACTAAGTAGGGAATTGTAGGCTTTGAAAGGGTGGCAGAAAGTGGCAAAAAGAAAAAGCCAGTAACTTTTTTTTTCCCCCCTTGTAGGAAAACGGAAATAAAACCAAAACACCTTTCAGGGCCAGTAAGATGGCTCAGCAGGTAAGCCCACTCGGAACACAAGCCTGGTGATCTAAATTCAATGTTCAGAACCCACAATGGAAGGAGAGAACACACTACTGGAAACTGTCCTCTGCAAGCAAGCATGTGTGTGTGTATGCTCAAACTCTCTCTCCTACTATACACATCAGAAAATTTAAAAATCTTCCAGAATTGGGGTCTTATTTAGGATGCTCTTTAAACAGGATGTTCCTCCTGTTTCAGGTCTGGGTGAGCGACCTCGAAACCAAGGGTTAATTCCCAGGACCAGGCTGTAAACCTGGAAGGTCCAAACAGACCCCACTCCACAGTGCCTGGTCTTTCACTGAATGCCATTCATTCATGGGACACTTGGTTCCTGGTGCAGGCCATTCTACCCAGGTTCCCAGCAAGACAAGAATCCACCCCACTGGCCACTGGGAGTCTACCTTATCCAGCTAAGTTCTGTCTGGCATACAGGACACTTTCAGAACACTATGCCCCATAATGGTAAAAAGCGCGTCCCTGACGAAGACAGAGACCCAAAGTCACGTCTTCCTCAATGTGTGACTGTAAATCATTTTGCTGCCTGGCTGTCCTTTGTATTATCTGCAAATAATAATAAGCCTTACTTTGCAGGGCAATGTGAGGTTAGAAAGAACCAGAGCAGACAGAGTGATTGGCAGGCTCACCAAGTACACTCCACTCTATGCCAAGGCTGGGTGAACTGTGAGAATTCATACCCGCTAAGAGGATTGGGGATAGGGGTCAGGTGTGCCCTACTGTGTCCCAGGCACTGACAATATACCTTCTTCCCATGCTCCAGGTCCCTCTCTTCTCATACAGAAGTGAACCCAGCTCCTGTCTTGCCTAACTGTACATTTCTCCTGCTCAGAGCTTCCTGCCCTGATCAAGGTCACAACCATACACGCCATTAGTAAATCAAAACCCCCAAATGGTCCCCAAACACTAGGATCCAAGTCATCTATAGCTCTGAACATGACCCTGTCATGTTTTGTCTGCTAAGAAGCCCATCTCCATAGCTCCTGCAGCCTGCCTGGGCCACCTGCTACCTCACCTACTAACCACATAAGCCTAGGATGGCTTCTGGTTTGAGTTTGTGAGACTTGTGTCTGCTCCTCTCACAGGTTGTCTGGAGGAGGACCCCCCCCCACACACACACACACACAAAAGATTTGTGTAAAGGGTTCAGAATCATGCCCTCACTGAAATGGTTTGGTCAAGACCAGCCCTCATTGCCATTCCTGCTCTGTGCTTCAAGGCTTAACTCACCTCATCTGAGTGACCTTTCTGGACTCCCGGGCCTCACCTGCTGGTCCACCCCATCTGAAAATGGTCCCAGAAGCACCTTCGTCACTATCTCATGAGGATGCCTGGAATCCTCATTGGCAACAGTCGCCCTTACAACTCTTGGGACTCCTTACCATTCTGGTGCAGTGCTCAAAACTAAGGCAGGGTCTGACCCCTGGCAATGGTCAGAGGAACACCTCTCTGCTATCCTAGGTGACAATTCTAGGCCTAGCTTTGCCACTACCAAACTCTGTCCACCCCACCCATTGCCACTAGCTTTCCCAGAGTCCTCACTCTGTGCAGGCCCATGCTGGGCACACATTCATGACTGAGTGGGCCCATGCCTTTCTTCTGAGGCTGACAATCCACCCAAAGCTTACCAGGGAGCTGAAAGAAGGGGAAGTGCCTTCAAAGAGAATCCCTAAAATAGCCAGTCACCTACAAAACCATGATAGAAGGGAATGAAAAGCCAACTAGATATCAGCCCTTGTTTGGAATTCGATGTCGAAGGAAAGCTATGTACTAGCCCCACCCTGGCTAGAAAGTGGTCCAGGGAGAGGGCGCCAGGCCCAAGGAGTCATCGGGGAAACCTTTGCCACAGAGAGAAGCCACTGGGGCAAGGGCTGGCCCTACAGAGGCCAGGTTTGCAGGTCAGGGGCCAGTTGCCTGCAGGGTTTGGTCCTCCTTTCAACAATCCTCATGAGTCAGTTCCAGGCCAGCAGGCTGTGGAGGGGTGGGGGCCAGGGGGTCAGAGGCATTGCTGGATTTCATCATGGGCTGCAGTGAAGTGCCTTTTTGGCCTTTCTGGTCTCTGATGAACAAGCCAGGAGATCTAAAAGCCATCCATCAGAGCCGCTGGCTTTACGATAACCAATCGCTCTCTGCCAGAAATTCTTTTGGTAAGAACACTCACTTTCAGAGCCTTGGCTCCTCCTTAGCTCCCCCAGCAGCAGCGCTGTCTGGCCTGTGCTGATGGCTGGAACACCATGGGGCACACACAGCTCAGGGCCCAGAGGGTGGAGACCAAGTGCCCCCGCCCCTCCAGCACAGCTGAAACTGGGCCTAGATGTACTTTCCATATAAATACATACATCTGCTTCCAAGCCCAGGGCAGGTCACTTATGTTTCCAGACCAGTCAGTGCATTGTGGATAGATGTAAAACTCTGTTGAGCCTTTACATGGATCCAAATGGCACAAAAGGGCTTCACCCACTGAGCCATCTGTTTCTAGAAAGTGCTAGTAGAACATAGGTGTGCTCATTCACTGACAAATTCTCTATGGCTGCTGTCAGGCTACAATAACAGAACAGACTAGAGACGTTCCTCAATTTTCATGGGCTCATGCCATCCCCTGTCAATCCAAAGTGGAGGGCATCATAAGACGAAATGTGAGTGCCACACTGCAGAAGATGGGCTG